TTAACTTAACACCTTACAATAGATTGTAGAGGGTGAAAATGGAGTAACACATAATGTAGTGTTGGACTAGCTTGTGTATATGTACTTTCAATTCACCTGTCCACTTATGGTAACTCCATGAATTTCATATTGTTTTCTTAGCAAGGAATACTCAGAGGTAGCTATGGAAGTTCCTTCTCCTGAAATACAGCCTATAGTACCTGGTATTTATTGGTGGTCCTCCATCCAAGTAGTAACCTTGCTTAGCTTCCAAAATCAAACATGATCAAGTACCTTTAGGGTAAACATAGGTCACAGTTTGGCCAAGTCTAAAAGGGAATACAACTAAATTATGGGGAATCAGGTCAGTTAACTAGACCTGTTGACTGTGTGTTTCCTTTGCTATCAAAGTCAGCATACCTCTGAATACCACTTGCCATAGGTCTCAAGATTGAAGGAGCCGTTACACTCATGTCCTCCTTGTGGACTTCATACAGATGTTGGCCCTTATGGGTACAGAATACTGGACTAGATCAGGTCTTTGGTCTGATGCAGAAGGGCTTATGTTCTTATGTGCTTTAAATTTAGCAAAGATATAATTAACAAATGCTTCCACATTTCATTGCTGAGCTGTCTCAAATTGTTCAACTTTTTTGAGGTTTTGCTGTTGGTGGTGACTGACACTAATAACTTTGGGATATTGTCTTAACAAGTCACTTTGAAAACAGATGCTTTCCATATCAACAGTTAGGTACTTCAATGTGGCGGGGGGGGGGGGATCTTTACTTTTCTTTTCCACAAATTCTAGTATAAAAAAAGCATCTGCTACCATAAGAAAGATAGAGTAGATGATGAATTATGCAAGAAACACCTTGATTTGGAAGCACTGTTTGTTCACCGGATTAAAATTGCCCCCTGTCAGGAACAGAGGAAAAACTCCTGGATAGGAAATAATTTGCTTCCACTCCTTACCATTGTCAGTCAATAGTAAGGCAGAAATTAATGCCTTTTTGAAACTTTGTAGCACTACCTTCTGATCTATTGTTTGAATGTAAATATTTAAAAACATTTTAATTCACACAATTAATAATGCTGGTCACATTTTATGTGTTTTATCCAAACCACAGACAGTTGGACAGAGATAACATAAGAGATGCCTACACTTCATACCTTTGAAATTTCCTTTTTGCCACTAGATGGTAATAGTGAACTGTTTGCTGCACTACATAACATTATTTTTGTGTGCCTTCAAATTATTTCAGATCTGAAAGCAAACCTATCATGGGGTTTTCTTGGCAAAATTTGTTCAGAGATGGCTTTGCCTTTGCCTTCTTCCTGCAGCTGAGAGAGCATGACTTGTTTCCATGGCCAAGTGGGGATTTGAACCCTGCTCTCCAGAGTCATAGTCAAACGCTCAAACCATTACACCACACTGTCCCTCACTACAGAACATCACATAGCTTCTGAAGTGATGGCACACAGCATGTATTAATATTGTAAATGTATGTTTACATTAATGTATGTTTTAATTAATATTGTAAATATATTAAAATGTTTGGTTTTAACTGTACTGTTCTTTTAAATTGTAAGCCACCCTGAGTCCCAATGTAGGATGATGATGATGATGATACTGCCACTTCAGAGCAAGGATGATAATGTGTGCAGCCACAAGTTGCTTGAGTCTCGACAGCAGGAAAATAAGAGTAATGTGTTGAGTAACTCATATGAAGGTTGCCTTTCAGGGCATGTGGGCTTTGCTGAACAACTTTGATTATAGTACACATCATGGAAACCTTTAATCATTAACAAACAGTGGGTTGAGTTCAGAGGTAAAGTCCTTTCTAGGGGATTATGCCAAGTAAATCTGGAAAACGCATCATAAACATGTGCTGGTACTGCAATCCACTGTATATTCTGACACACTTAACCTTGGTAGGCAGCCTGATGTACCCAACTCAGTGGGGTGACAACACTAGTTTCCACACTGGATGAAATGTGCTTGGACACAGTTGCACCTGCTTTAAATTAGCAGCCTGATGTACCCAAAAACCAAACATATATTAGCATCATTTTACAAAGAAAGCTCTGCCCCATCCAACTTTTGCAGCAGGATTCAAGATAGAGTAAACCAACTGACAGAACACTTTATTGTTGTGTGCCTTCAAGTAGTTTCTGACTTATGGCAACACTAAGGCAAAACTATCTTGGGGCTCTCTTGGCAAGTTTCTTTAGTGGGAGAGGGGGGTTCACCATTGCCATCCTCTGAGCCTGAGAGAGTGTGACTTGCCCAAGTTCATCTAGTGGGCTTATCTGGCTGAGCCAGGACTTGGTCCTTGGTCTTCAGAGTCATAGTCCAACACTCAAACAGCTAAACCATGCTGGCTCTTGACAGAGCACTAAATGTGGGAAATTTGAGGGCAAGACCACTGCCCAATGACTTGCTCTGATTGTTTGCAGAGTGGTTGACATACAGAGTAGATTTCATTGGTAATAATAGTGTTTTCCTCTACAGAAGCTCTTTTGTTACTGGGTTAGATACTCAGTGATACCATTAATGCTAGATTTTCCTTCAAATAAATAAAAAGATGTTTTCTTTCTGGATTTATGTCTGTTTTCTGCTTTTTGATTTCACAAGTTTTGTGTTTTCACTTTGAAATAACAGTGGTAGGACACATAAATTACATTTGTTTGTTTTTGTTTTATTTTGCTTTCCTTTTGTTTTATTTTGCTTTCCTTTTGTGAAATACATCTCACAAAAATGTATTTGCTGACTCTGGATGTTTGGCTATTTGCAAAATTCTCTTTATTCTACAATTATAAGAGCTTCTGGGGACATGGGATATATATATATATATATTTGTTCCCTGAAATACACTGGAAATCCCATAAAGGTCAAAAATATCCCCTGAATTTCTTAATGCAAGTTTTTAATATAGGTGTGTGTGGTTGAGGGCTAAGGCCACTTTCACAAGCTTGCATAATTTTCCATTTTACTAATGTATAATGTATAGTATACCTATGGTGCCACTGCCATTGTCTTTTAAAAAAATCCTCCAACAGTGTCACCTCCCACTATTGCTGCTGCCCGGTAGCTGTTTTGCATTTTTAGTCTAGCTCCTCAATAATAATAATAATAATAATAATAATAATAATAATAATAA